ATATATTATTTTTTTTGGTTAGGAAGTGTGGAGTTTTGTGTGTATGATTTCTGTACAAAGACAAAGGAAACTCCCCGAGCCCCTGCAGCTCCTTGGCCACCCTCAGCCCGGCTCCAAGCCTCACTGCTGCCCCTGCTGCCCCCGTGCCTCTGATGTGCGTGTCCGGTTTTCTCCCTGTGAACTCGGACCCGGCCTGGCTCCAGCACCCTAAACCACCTGCCTACATCTGAGGTCCCATCTGGACTCCCAGGCACGGCTGATGGGGTTTGGGGACCGAAGTAACCCCACGGGTCTCCCTGAAGCCTTGGTGCTCCTGGCTGCGGGCCATCGGGGCAGGACGTGAGCTGATCGATCCCAGGGACCCAGCACCCTGAGGAGCGGGGGCTCCGGCCGGGCCTGCCTGGGCCACGCTGCTATGGAGGCTGCCTCCAAGCCTCCCACCGGCCCCAGGCCGCTGATGGCCCCAGCCCAGGAGGCCAAGACTCTGCCAAACCCACCGGAACCTGCCTAGCTCAGAAGTCAGCACCTCCTGGCGCCTGGGGCCCGGGCCCGGGGCTCACTTGCTCCTTGTCCTCCTCTGCTCAAAAGAGCCTAGAGGGGCCAGGCACCCCACCAGCAGAACTGAGCCTGCCTCTCACTCTGCCGTCCAGACGACCCCATCCTTTCCGAGCCCTGGATGGGTGGCAGCAGAAGTCCAGCCTAGCCCAGCCCAGCCAGGCTCCTGCTGCCACCCAGGTTGTCCCTGCCCGCCCGAGAGCCAACTGTGTCCCCAGGCCCTGAGCACGTCTCCTGGAGCTCGGAGAGACCAGGGGAGCAGAGCCGACCTGGAGGTGGCCTTGGTGGCTCTGGCCTCCCTGCGCCTTGAAGGCTGCTGGATGCACTGGCCCCTGCCTCCAGGCCCCACTGGCCGGACTGGCAACCGCCCTCTCCTCCCGCAGCCTCTCCCTGGCAAGGTGGGCCCACCCTGTGCTCCCCAGAGCAGGGTACCTGCACCGCCCTCCCTCCCTGGCCCTGCTGGCCCCACCACCCAGGCAGAGCCCATGCCGCATTGCTTCACCACCTGGGGCCTGGGGACGTGCGTGTCTGTGCGTGGGGATGTCACAGAAATACATTTGTCCAAGTGCACAGGACCGGCCTCTTTTCTGTGGAGGGCTGCGGGGTCAGGAGAGGGGATTGGTGTGGGTGCCCCGGTGCAGGGCATGTTTGGCGGCTTCCTGGTCTGTTTCCTGCGCTTGCCCCTCTCGCCTCTGTGCCAGCCCGAGGTCAAGGTCGGCCGAGACTAACAGCGCCTTGGCCCTGCTGTGATGGGACGGACACGGCACAGGGGTCGTGCCCCAGGCCCCGAGCAAGGAGGAGGTGACCTGCAGGACTGAGGGAGAGCGGGCCTGGTGTCCCCGGAGCAGACTCCAGAGCCAGGCCTGGCCCAGGGCCTGAAGGACAGGGTGAAGATGGAGGGCACGGGGACCACGTGGTTCAGTGTCCAGAGCCTGGCACCCCCGGGATGGTCCCAGTTTATACCCGCAGTCCCAGCGTCACCTCTAGCAGACCTCTCCTGGACAGCTTCTGACTGGAACAAACCATGTGGTCACATTCCTCACAGGCTATGGTGACCCTATGGCTTTCTCAATTTTTTTTTTTTTTTTTTTTTTTTTTTTTTTTCCTAGTACTAGGAATTGAACTCTAGGCCTTCGCACCGAGCCATACCCCCAGCCTGGTTTTTTATTTTGTTTTTGTTTTTTTGAGACAGGGTCTCACTATGTAGTTGAGACTGACCAGCCTGTTTTTTTATCTTTTTTATTTTTTTGCAACTCTGGACCTTATGCTTTTGAGGCAGGTGGTGGAATCACTGGGCTAAATTCCCAGCCCTGTTTTTTTTAATTCTTATTTGAAGACAGAATCTTCGTAAGTCCCTGAGTTACCCAGGCTGGGCTCAAACTTGCAGTCCTCCTGCCTCAGCCTCCTACAGTGCTGGGATTCCAGAAGTGTACCACCACGCCTGGGGAAAGTTACTGGGTGCTGGGGAGGAGCTGCAGGACTGGATGTAACATTCCCGGGACCCCGCCCCCAGGCGTCTCCCCCAAAAGCCCTCTGCCACCCACTGCCCATTGCGCCTGGGCAGAAAGTGCACTCAGAACACTTTTTTTTTGGTAGACATGCTGCCAAAGTGAGCACTGGCTCCCAGAACGCTAGCTTGCCTGGGAGCCCTGGGGGACACTGCTTGTCTAGTGGGGGACTCACGAAGGGTGTCTGTGTGCTGGTGCCTGTCAGGTGCTGTGTGCACACCCTGCTTCCCCCTGGACACATCGAGGCCACTGAGAGGCCAAGAAGACAGTGACTGACTCCCTCCCTCAAGTTGCACAGGGAAGGAGGGAAACCAAGTCCTCCCGTTGCATTAGGAGCTCCCCCATCGCTGCTCAGCCCTGGTCCCTGCTGGGCCTGGAGTCCACTACTTCCTGCATACACCATGCAGCACCCGCTAACTTCCTGCTCTGAAACTACTTCCTCTGTCTCCTCCAGCTGGCTGTGAGCAACAGCAGTTTGGTACAAGGTACTGAGGCTGGCATGGCAAGGGTGCCCATTAAATACGTACTGGATTAGGGCTGGGGATTTAGCTCAGTGGTGCTGCAGCCTGCCTTGCAAGAGCAAGGTCCTGAGTTCAATCCCAGGTACCAAAAAACTAAAAATAAAACATACCAGATAAGCCACATGCAGTGGTACACTTCTATAATCCCAGCACTCTGGAAGGCTGAGGCAGGAGAATTGCAAGTTCAAGGCCAACCAGCACAATTTAGCAGACCATGTCTCAGAATGCTTAAAGGGGCAGGGATGTATCTTAGTGGCAGAGCACTTGCCTAGCATGAGTGAGGGCCTGGGTTCCATCCCCAGTATGGGCGGGGGTGGAGGAGGGAAGCAAGAGTGCTTTGGAACACTGGCTACAGCCCCGGCGCCAAACGTGACAGTCTAAAGCACAAGGCCCTTTTATTGTTTCCATAAGAAATGCGCTCTCCATTGGGAACCAGAACCCGTGAAAATCTCTGGGAACATCAGCATCAAACAAAAGGCATTTTGGGACACAATCTCTGAGCAAGAGGCTTGTGAGCAACCCAGGATGTGCTTAGCAAACTATGCCACCAGCTGCTTGAGGGCAGACGTTGGATCGGACAGGGATGAACCAACCCTACTGCCGGCCTGTCCCAGGGCTGTGACTGAGTCTCTTTCTTCATTTTATTTGGTGGTACTATGAATTGAACCCAGGGCTTCACAGAGCTACATTCCCAGGCTTTTTTAAAGTTTTTCTTTTTGAGACGGGTTCTCATTATTCAATTCAGGCTGGCCTCCAACTCATGGCAATCTTCCTGCCTCAGCCTCCCATGCTGGGATTGCAGGCGTGCGCCCCGCCCAGCCAGAGCTGCTCTCTTAACTGTGTCTGTGTGCTAAGATTCAGAGTCCTGATTCCAAGAGAGGTTGGCTGACTTGGGTGCTGTGCCCCACCTCTTCCTGGCAGGACCTCTGCAACAAACATGGGCTCCCTTGCCCTCCCCCCATTAAGAGACTGGAACACTGAGCCACCTTCTAACAGCTCAAGGTCACATCCCTCCAACACCCAACCCTAAATCCCTTACCTGTCTGCCTGAGAAATTCAAGACTTCCAAAAGCACTCACAGGTTTTACTCACTATGTAGCCAATGTAGGCAGCTGAATGCCCTTAGGACATTAACTGGGCAGGCGTCATTTTCCAGAACTAGAGAGCTGCTCCTTTGGAATGTAATCATTCATCGGATGTTCCCCGTGGTGGTGGACACCTGTCACCCCAGCTCTAAGGAAGCTGAGGCAGGAGGATCACTTCAAATTCAAGACCAGCCTTGGTTATATAGTAAGTTCAAGGCCATCTTGAACTGCCTATACCTGTTCTCAACGAACAAACAGAGGCCCTGGGAAGCTAGAATCCTGCCTCCTACCCACGAGTTAACATACACATCTGGCTATGTGGGGTTTTTTTTGTTTTTTTGACACAGGGTCTTGCCATGCAGTTCAGGCTGGCCTCAAACTCACTCACTATGGAGCCCTGGCTGGCCTGGAACTTCCAGTGATCTTCCTGCCTCTGCCTCCCATAGTGCTGGGATTACCTGTGTGTGTCACCATACCCAGCCAGTTTGTTTTTTGAGACCGCATCTCACTACATAGTTCAGGCTGGCCTCAAACTTGCAGCAATCCTCTTGTGTCAGCCTCCTAAATTCTGGGCTCATAGGTGTGCACTATCATGCCTGGCAGTTTTGTTTTTGTCTTGTTTCCAATACCGTGGACCAAGCGCAGGTGTTCCAGCATGCAGAGCCAGCATCCTACCATGGAGATACAAATTCAGTCTTTAAAAAAAACACAAAAGTTTGCCCGGGCTGGCCTTGAATTTCAGACCCTCCTGCCTCAGTCTCGCAAATATGTGCAATTATAGGCCGGTGGCCCTGCACCTGGCTGCACTTCCATGACCTAATCCTCCCAACCACCTGAGAAGGTGGGTGCCACTGTCATCTCCTTACGCGGGTAGAAACCAGCTCAGAGTTCCGTAACTCGCTCAGGGAACATTCCGTGGCCGGAGCAGATTCCAACCCTGGCCGGATATTCAGCCAGTATCTGCACCGCGACCTCCATTCATCACCATCCCTTTGCAGTATCCGGAAAAGAACAAGAGGAAGAGAAGGCGCCGTTATGGAGCAACCTACGCCTCGGGAGGGCTTTGCCATCACACTTCTGGAGCTAGCGAGAGCCGGATCTGTAGAGCACCCCGGGAGCCGCACGCATGCGCGAGCCGTGGGGGCGGAGCCCACAGGACAGCGAGGCGGGTCGCGCGCCTGCTCCCGGCTCTCGAAAATTACGGGGCGGGTGGGGGCTGGAATTGGAGGAGTTACCGGCTGCGCGCGCGCCGACCCCGCCCTCAGCCTCCTCAGGCACCTGTTGGCTTGCGGGCCCCACTGGGTCGTGGTTACCACCCAATAGAAAATCTCACTGACCTAAACCTGCCCCGCCCACCCCCCGATCCGCCAATCCCCAGGTGGCCGCGGCCCTTCTCCCTCCGAGGGCCCGCCCCTCTAGGCGCTGCTTCCGGGTGGGTCCCGGGGCCGAGGCGATGGCGCCTTGGGCGCTCCTCAGCCCTGGTGTCCTGGTGCGGACCGGGCACACCGTGCTGACCTGGGGGATCACGCTGGTGCTCTTCCTGCACGATACCGGTGAGCCCGACCCACCCGACCCCGCGTGGTTCCCCACACGTTTGGGTCTCACCAGTTTCCCTGATTAACTCCCCAGAGATACTGGAATTCACCCCGGTCTCCGCCAGCCTCGAGGCCCCTCCTCATCTTGAATTCCAGGCGCCACCTGCTGATACCCACTTGAGCCCTACTTAATCGCAGCATCTTCCTGATCGCTGCCACACGCCCTCCCCGTCTGAGATCCGTCTGGTGCCCACCAAACCCAGGACTACAGCCCCTTTTCCACTGACCCTCGACCCCAGCCCATTCTCTAGGAACTGACTTCCACCTTCCCGTCTGTAAGATTAGGAGGGATCGACTAGATTCGAGGGCTGGCCGCTGCCCACACCCGGGCCTCCAGTTGGTAGCCACTAGGTACCCGGGTCTGGGCTCCCTACTCTTCAAACAGCGCTCGCCCCTGTTCCCATGGGAGCCCCCACCCACCCACCAGGCTCCGCTCTGGGCCTTTCCTTTCAGCCTAGGACCTGCTTGGGTGTCCTCATCAGGAAAGGACCGCTCAGAAGCCACCCTTCCGGCAGCCTTCTGGTCCAAGGGCACTGGAGCTGTCCAGTGCCTCCACACCTTTCAACCCTCAGCCTCAAATCCTCAGCCCCTTCCAGGCACTCAAACCTCTTGGACGCTCCTGACGAGGGGGCTCCCCCCTGGCTCCCCGGCAGCACCTGTGCCGGCATCCCGCCCCCGGATCTGGAACTCAGGCCTTTCAGTCCCGGCTGCTCCATCCCCATTGAGAAGCCAGAGACCCAGAGCCCCTCCTCCCGCTCCCCACCCATCGCGGTGTCACCTTGACCCCCTTGTCGCGTGTCCGCTCCCTGCTGTCCCCTTTCCTGCCAGGCCTTGTTCATTCACCCTCCCTTTCCTCCCGGCTGGACCTCTGTGCCTCTCGGCTGCCCTTCTAACCCATCTCGCCGGGAGGGCTTTAGGAAACAGATGCTGCTCCCTATTGCCCTCCGGAGAATGTGCAGATAAACTGTTTGGCGGGGCCTAAACTCCTCCCTCCAGCAGCCCCCTTGGTCACCCGTGGAACCCCATCTCCAGGCCTGCTCAGCCGGGAACACACTCCCCAAGTCTAGCTGTGCCGAGCCCCGCCCCTCCCCTCCCCTCCTGCTCTGTCCAGCCCCCGCCTCACTGTCCCACTCCGGCCTCTCCAGAGCTGCGGCAGTGGGAAGAGCAGGGGGAGCTGCTGCTGCCCCTCACCTTCCTGCTCCTGGTGCTGGGCTCCCTGCTGCTCTACCTGGCTGTGTCACTCATGGACCCGGGCTATGTGAACACCCAGCCTCAGCCCCAGGTAACCAGAGGCCCTCAGGGGCCTGAACCCCTCCTCCGGCCACTGGGGCTTTCGTGGGCATCTGAGAGAATCCTGCCTTATTACTGACCCCGCATTTTTCAGGGGGAGACCAAGGAGGAGCACACAGCCATGGTGCCCCAGGCAGTTGCCCTCCGGCGCTGCAGATTCTGCCTGGTGCTGGTGGGTGAGGTGGGGACCCTGGGGGAGGGGCAGGGGCCACACTGGGACGCCCTGACTGCCTCCTGCCCGGCACCGTCCTGGTCCTTCCCTCCCTGGTAGGCCCCTGGGCACTGAGTCCCGGCTCCTCTCTGCGCCCACAGCAGCCCCTGAGGGCCCGGCACTGTCGTGACTGCCGCCGCTGTGTCCGCCGCTACGACCACCACTGCCCCTGGATGGAGAACTGTGTGGGCGAACGCAACCACCCGCTCTTTGTGGCCTACCTGGTGGTGCAGCTGGCAGTGCTGCTGTGGGGCCTGCACCTGGCATGGTAGGTGCCACCCACCTAGGGCGGCATGGGCAGCACAGGCGGTGGGCACCCCTAGGCTATGCAGAGCCAGGGCGCCCACCTTGCCCCTAGCCTGGGCCCCCTTCTCTGCTTCAGGTCCGGCCTCCACTTCTTCCAGCCCTGGGGGCTGTGGCTGCGGTCCACTGGGCTCCTGTTCACCACTTTCCTGCTGCTGTCCCTCTTTTCCCTGGTGGCCGGTCTGCTCCTGGCCTCGCATCTCTACCTGGTGGCCAGCAACACCACCACCTGGGAGTTCATCTCCTCACACCGCATCACCTACCTCCGCCAGCGCCCCAGCAACCCCTTCGACCGCGGCCTTACCCGCAACCTGGCCCACTTCTTCTGTGGGTGGCCCTCGGGCTCCTGGGATACCCTGTGGGCTGAGGATGAGGAGGAGGGGGGCAGCAGCCAGGACATTTAGCATCACCAGAGGCCGCCTGCCATCTTGGCCAGGCCTGGGAGAGCCAAGAATCCCTGCCTCCCAGGAGCAGTTCCGCCTTCTCGAGGAAGAAGGGGAGGAAGAGGGCCCAGGGAGACCCGGGCAGCTGGACACTGGGTCACCCGACCCCCAGACCCAGACAGGGCCTCCTCCTGTGCAGTTTTACACATTTAATAATCCACAAAGCCAGTCAAGTATTAAAAAGACAAACCAAGCCACTCCTCACTGCAGTGCCCTTCCTGGTCCGGCTCTTGCTGGGAGGCTGAGGAGGAGTAGAGGGCAGGAAGGGGACCCTCCGCCCAGTGACACAGCAAAGCCCACACAGCAGCCCACGGGCCACCACCTCGAGTCCCATGGGCTCCGGACACCTGAGAGTCACGCCGCTGGGCAGGGCACACACAGGCACCTGTGGGTTCTTGGGGTCCAGGCCCGGCCGTGGACTCAGGGCTGCAGGAAGCGCTCGCACACAAAGTCAAAGTCTCGGAAGGCGGCCTGCTGGCGGGCACTGAGGGGGCTTCGTAGGCTGGGCGGGGTCAGGGCCGGCAGCAGCCCTGTGAACTCGCCCTCGAAGTAGCGCAGGTCTGCGGGGCCGCAGAGGACGGGCACGAAGGGGGGCTGCACGGCGCGGGCCAGGAGGGCCTGCCAGTCGGTGACCTGAGAGCCAGGGTAGAGGCGGCTGGGGGGTGGGAAGAGCACCCCTGGGGTCGCTCCAGGCCCCCACCCTGCCAGGCAGGGCACCCTCTGCAGCTGGCCACTCACCCTGAAGAACGGCTGGACCTTGATCTCCTCCGCATCCTGCTCACCAGCACCCAGGCGCTGCTCCGGGATCTTCTGGAGGAGCTGGGCAGAGAGCAGGGTGCACTCAGGGTGTCCCACAGGAACCCCATAGGGCTGTGTTGGGAGACCCCAAGGGCAGGGGCAGAGCCCATGAGCTACTTACAGTCATGGGGCCCAGGCCTGGACCCTCACGGTGCCTACCTTCTGAATGAGCTCAAGGGCTTGCACCGAGAGAAAGTGGGGGTACGGGGCATCTGTGTTGACAATGCAGTCGAACACCTCCTCTTCTGTGTCCCCTGGGAACGGGCACTGCGGGGGGGGGCTCAGAAGAGTGTACAGGGCACCCCGCCTCTACCATGCCCCAGAGGAGCCCTGCACTCACCTCACCCACCAGCATCTCGTACAGCAGCACGCCCAGACCCCACCAGTCCACAGCCCGCGTGTACGTCTCCTGCGTTAGCACCTCGGGGGCCAGGAACTCCGGGGTGCCACAGAAGGTGCTCGTCCGGTCCCCAAAGCCAATCCCTGCAAACCAACATCCATACCAGTGCCTGCTCCATGAGATGACCCATTCACAGGAAGCCCACCCTCGGGAGGCTGAGGCAAGAGGATCGCCACAGCTGCGGGACCAGGAGGAAGATCTGGGACAGCCAGTCCCACCTTCTTTGCACAGCCCAAAGTCCGCAATCTTCAGAAAACCCTGGGCGTCAAGCAGGAGATTATCCAATTTCAGATCCCTGAGGGCAAAGGGGCAGAGCAAAGGGCTTGGGAGGCAGAGCCAGGTGGGGGCAGCAGAGCCGGCCCCGGCCCACTGCCCTGCCCCAGCGCCTCTGGTGAGTTTACCTGTAAATGATCTTCTTCTCATGTAGGAACTGCAGCCCCAGGACCACACAGGCCAGGTAGAAGCTGGGTGGTGGGGGTGGAGAGCTCAGGCCCAGGCCCAGTCACACAGGGTAAGAGGTGGGGTCAGGAAGGAAGATCCCAGCAAGGTCGTCTGAGGCAGTTGTGCATCAGCCCACCCTTCCTGGGCTCTCCCATGTCCTCCAGCGGCGCCACCCAGTGACTCTCACGTGGCTGGTACCCAAATGAGGACCTGAGACTCCAGGGAAGGGCCAGGCCCGGGTCACACAGCTAGGGCTAGGGCTGAGTGAGGATCGGGTCCTTTAACTCCAAGAGTCTTGCTCTGGGGGTGCAGGAAATAACCAGCTGCCAGTTCCCATGCCAGGCAATTTTGATCTTGTTTTTGGCGACAGGGTCTCACTATGTAGCCCAGGCTGGCCTCGAACTCATGGGGATCTTTATGCCTCAGCTTCCCTGGTGCTAGGATGATAGGCGTCCACCACCATACCCAGCAGCTGTGTGCTGGGAGAATGGAGCCGAGGCCTCTCTAAGTCCTCGAACTTCTTGCTGATGGGGTCCCAGAGGGCATAGGAGGGAGGAACAGGGCAGAGGAGACAGAGGAACCCACCGGGCCTGGGACTCAGGGAAGACGTCCTCGTGGATCTGCATCATGAGGTCCCCACCTTGCACAAACTCGGTCACGAAGCAGGCGTGGCTGGTGGTCTGGAAGCAGGCAAGGAGGGAGAGCAGGAAGGGGTGCCCTGTGTGGCCCACTGCCTCCAGGATCCGCTTCTCACAGTACAGGCTGTGGGGAGGGAGGAACTGGGTCTCAGACAAAAACCTCCGTGGGAGCTGGGCGTGGTGGTACGAGCCTGCAAATGCCAGGCTGGGGAAGCTGAGGCAGGAGGATAGGAGTTCAAAGCCAGCCGGGGCTACAGAGTGAGTGCAAGGCCAGACTGAACTACACTGTGAGACCCTGTCTAAAAAAAAACCCACTCCCACCCCAAGGGCTGGGGATTTGGCTCAGTGGTTTCACTGCCTCCCTCGCATGCTCAGAAGCCCAAATTCGATCCCCGGTACCAAAAAAAAAAAAAAAAAATTTAAAGAATAAAGGGTTGGAGATGCAGCCAAGTAAGAAGACCTTGGGTTCAATCTTCAATACCACAAAAAACCAACCCCCCAAAAAACCCTTTCGTGGGCAGTACCCTGCCACCCACACAGCACCTCAGTTCACTTGATCCTCAAAATTCTAGGCCGGCAAGGTGCTGGCTTCCATAAAGCAAAGGCTCATGGGCCACTGATTCTTCATGAGCACCATGGCCCCAGTTACATGGAAGAGCAAACCGAGGCACTGGGCGGAGTGAAGAGAGGCCCTGCCCCGCGGCCCACAGCTCCCAACTACAGATGCCAATGAGAACATAGGCCTGCCAGGGCTCCCCAGCCTCTGGCTGCCCCCCAGTGGCCACAGCCCAGGCCGGCCCCCTGAGACCCCTCCAGGGACCCCACATACCTCTCGACCTCATCCCGGCTCAGCACCTCCTGCTTCTTCAGCGCCTTGATGGCAAAGTATTTACCTGTCTCCTTGAACTGGACAAGGAGGACCTGAGGACCAGAGAGAGGTTGGCTCCAGGTGGGGAGAACAGGGGCACCTCCACTTCCCTGCCCATGGCCCCACTGCACCCTCCCAGGCCCCTACCTTCCCGAAGTGTCCCCGGCCCAGCACGGCCAGGCAGTGGAAGTCCTGCAGCCGGGGTGGTTTCCTGCAAGACAGAAAAGGCACAAGAAGACCCGGAGGACCAGGGACAGCCACAGGCACAAAGGAAACTGGTGGCAGAGTGAGTGCAAGCGTCCTGAAGCAAGCGCGACAGGACAGCGTACCTGGGGGCGGAGGCTGGAGGGGCAGGCACGAGTCTGGTCCTCGGCTCCATGTGAGGGCGTTTGGTGCACTGTGGGGACACAGAGGTTCAGGGCAGGGCCGGCTGCCACCTCACACCCTCCTGCCCTGCCTGCCTTGGTCCTCACCGGCGTCTCCTCCGGGGTGGGGTCCTGGGCCAGGAAGAGGCGTGGGGGCTTGGGCGGGGGCTGGATTTCTTCTCCCAAGGGGGTCTTCTTGGGCAGATTACTGCAGGGCAGAAGTGAACACACGGCCGAGCTCAGGACAGAACAGTCGTGGGACGGACACACAGCCACGCAGAGGGACGGAGGGGCGGAGAAACAGGCAGGGTGGAGAAGCCGGGGTCTGGGGCCAGGTACCACTCACCTGGGGGATGCAGGCTCAGAGGCCCCACGGGGTGTAGTCGGGGTCCGAGAGCAACCTTTGGGGGGGCTGATGGTGCTGGGTGAGCTGCAGGGGGGCAGCAGGCTCATGACCAGGCGCCCCCAGGCTGCCATGCTGAGGTTCATCTGTGAAGCCCTCAGGAAGTCCTGGCCTGGGGCAGAAGGGATTCAGTCCCAGGAGCCCCATGGCCCCAGCCCTGTCCCCCACATGCAGCCCCTCCCCTCCACACCTCGGCGTTTAGAGAAAACGCGTTTTTGCCTCCGCAGCCGGGGCCGCCTCTCAAGGACAGGGTCACAGAAGGTCACCTGCAGGGGCCAGGCCAAAGCTGACAACCAGTCCCTTCCCATCCCCTCTGCCACGGCGCCCGCTCCATACCAGGTGTGGGCCCAGGCCCCAGTATATCGACCCACAGATGCCAGAGCCAGAAGGACCCAGAGAAGTGGATTCCACATCCTCAGTGGGACCAGTGGAGAAACTGAGGCTCGAGGAAGAGAGGCATTGGTCCCAAGTCACACATGAGGCAGGACAGTCAGGACAGGGACGCCGCCTCCGGTGCCCTAGAGAGACTTGCTCGCTCTGGTCAGTCTCAAAGGGACTTCAAGCCCCACAGCCACAGGGCATCGGGTCAGAGGGCAGAGAGCAGGGGGCAGGCAGCACCTGGGCAAAGAGTCGGCCCTGTGGCACCAGGCTGAGGGACAGCTGGTGGCAAGCATTGTCCAGGAAGTCCTCGAGCCTCAAGAAGG